TCCATCCATCCATCCATCCATCCATCCATTTTCTCCTGCGTAGTCCTGTCAGGGTCGCGGTGGGGCGGGGGCCTATCTCCACCAGGGAGGGGGCGAGAGGCGGAGTACACCCTGGACAGGTCGCCAGTCTGTTGCAGCACATTTTTATCTGAATGCTCAAAATCGAACAGACGGAAAAGTGGGGCAGAGAATTTTTTTCTCTTTTGATGGAAAGCGACAACCTCACCTCACTGGAGGAGAAAATGCCCCGTTTTTATTTCTGTGTTGTTTAATTTTGTATTTGATGTGTTGAAATCAAATCCTTGACTGACAGAGTGGTCTGTAAACACACTTAAAATAAAACTGCCTCTCTCTGGTTCTGGTTTGGTTGTTTAAAATAAACAAAAACAAAAAAAGGGTCTCTGGCTTGTATCTCTGCTTCTTTTTCTATGTCTGCTTCTGTCTCCTTGAACCCCAATCTGCCTCTGCAGATTGCCGCTCACACTGAGCCTGGTTCTTTCTTCCTGTTAAAAGGGAGTTTTTACTCTCCACTGTCGCTACAAGCATGCTTAGTGTGAGGGCCTTTTTTTTTGTCTTAAATTTAAGTAGATACATTTCTGCTGCATGGTGGTACTGGGGAAAAAAGCTGCAGCTGGAAATAGTTTGCATACAGTAGTAGCCATTTAAAATTTCCCTCTTTCTTTGATGGGCCCTTGGCTGGTCCTCTAAGATTCATTTCTTAAACATCAATCTTTGTACTAAAATATTCTTTCTGTCATGATTTGTGGACATTAAGATCCAAAGAGAAGCGCCACCTGCTGGCCAGACCCTGTAGTTCAGTTAAAGGGTGGAGTCAGAGTATAAAAATATTCATGCCCAGAAGAAAGGAGGGTTCAATCCAGTGGCTGGAAGTTGGCTGCCATTCAGCTGGCGTTTGACTGGGATGGGTGATTTTGAATGGCTGCTACTGTATCATTAATAACAGCGACCTGAGTGAAGTTGCCCCCCCCACCTTCTTCAAATCAGACAAAATTAGTGTCAAACGTTTGTGCTATGTTTGTGCTGGTTTGTACAGCAAAAATTCCGTTTGTGCCGCTATCATTTTAAAGATACAAAGAAATATTTGTAGAGGTCATCAAAGGTCAACCAGACCCCCCCCCTTCAAATTAGACG